GCCTCGGCCTCCCAAAGTGCTGGGATTACAGGCTTGAGCCACCGCGCCCGGCAAATTGTTTTTAATGTAAGACCAAAATTTGAAAAGGAGGCCCCAGTGCCTGCTCAGGTACACACCTGGATGCGATCGGGATAGTTGTCCAGGAGGAGGACACCAAGGCTTGTCACCTTCTTGGTCTCTACCATGGTCTTGAGGTCGGCCAGGAGGTTCATGTGTTTGGACATGTCCGTGGCCAGCACCTGGAGACAGGCAAGGGACGGTGACAGGCACGAGGACCCTGCCCGCCCCGACGCTCACTCCCAACTCCCAGATGCCATTCCGGCTCAGAGAGCCCGCTGGGCCTCAGCATCCTCATCTGTGAAACGGGAGGATCCAATGGCATTCACTGCAAACCCTGCTCACACGAGGGGCTCAGTCAGGGACCCCTTTTGGGAGGTTGTTTGGGTTGGCCATGAATTCCACATGTGTGACAGGGTGTAGGAGGGAGGTGATCAAACCTGTGCGTCTGGGACTTGTCAGCCCAAGTCTCCCACAGTGGGTGAGCAATGTCGTCAATGAAACCCACCTGTGGGGCGGGTGGGGCAGGTAGGCATTTGGTGAGTCACAGCAAACCCTAGAACAAATCCAGCCTCCGGATATTTAGCCAGGTTGTTCCTTCCACCTGGAATGCTGCTTCCCAACTCCTACTCATCCTTCAAAACCCTTTTCAAATAACCCATCCTCTAGGATGCCTCTGTTGACCCTTCTGGCCTCTTCCACCCCCAACTCTGACCCCACAGGACTGGTTAAGGGCTGAGGTGACTTGTGCCTGAGGACACTGGGGAGGTTAAGGTCTGTGCAAAGGTCCTGGGGCTGGGACAGTTGGGTACATGGGAGGGACTTAGAAGAGGGGCTTGTGGCTGGAAGAAGTGAGCTCATGAGAGATGGACTCGAGATTGAGGAGGCTGAGGGCCTCTGGCATCTGGAGAACCTTGTCCAGAGGTCATCGGAGCCACAGGGAAGTTTGCAGCTCACTGTGAGAAGGGATGTGACTTCATACCGCTCACACTTCCATGTGGCCGCCATGTGCCCTGGAGAGCTATTTCTAACTCTGAACACAGATGTTTAAAAAGCAAATTAGCCTGGCCGGGCACGATGGCTCATGCCTGTAATCCCAGCACTTTGGGAGGCTGAGGTGGGCGGATCACCTGAGGTCAGAAGTTCCAGACCAGCCTGACCAACATGGTGAAACCCCGTCTCTACTAAAAATACAAAATTAGCTGGGCATGGTGGCGCGTGCCTGTAATCCCAGCCACTCAGGAGACTGAGGCAGGAGAATCGCTTGAACTGGGAGGCAGAGGTTGCGGTGAGCGGGGATCGTGCCACCGCACTCCAACCTGAGTGACAGAGCAGGACTGTTTCCAAAACAAACAAACAAAAAAAAAACAGCTTAACCCAACATGTGTGCACTCAGCCCAGCCAGGAGTGACTCAGATGTGGTTCACTGGCTTCTCTGAGAATCAGACAGCGGTCTCAAAACTTCTCCCCAAATCTCTCATTGGTCCCAAATGCAGTCCCCCCACCACTCAAGACCCCAACTCAGGCCGGGTGCGGTGGTTCACGCCTGTAATCCCAGCACTTTGGGAGGCCAAGGCGGGCGGATCACCTGAGGTCAGGAATTCAAGACCAGCCTGGCCATCACAGTGAAACCCCATCTTAAAAAAAAAAAAAAGACCCCAACTCCACCTCACCAATGTTCGTCTCTTTCTCACTCCAAGCCTTAGTTTCCTCTGAGTCCTCCACACATGCAGTTCCCTCTGCTGGGAACACCGTTCCCCATCCCGCAGCCTTCCTCATTCTGCACACCCTGCCGTCACTGCTGCCTCTCCTGGAAGCCCTCTCTGACCCCTTTGGCTTTCCTGGGTTCCGAAAGCACCTTGAACCCCCCTCCTCACAGCTGTGCCTGCAGGTCCACAGTCACAGCTACCACAGATCATGAACTGTCTTTGCACAGATCAAGCACACAATAGGTGCTCAATAAATGCTTGTTAAGTGAATGAATGAGGCATGAGACCCCAAACCCACTGGTGTGTCCCTACCTAAAAAAAAAAAAATCAAATGAACGGATGTGCTTAATTTTTTTTCTTTCTTTTTTAAAGACGGGGTTTCACCATGTTGGTCAGGCTGGTCTTGAACTCCTGACCTCAGGTGATCCACCCGCCTTGGCCTCCAAAGTGCTTGGATGACAGGCGTGAGCCACCACGCCGGCCTTTTTTTCTTTTTTTTTCTGAGACAAAGTCTTACTCTGTCACCCAGGCTGGAGTGCAGTGGCGCGATCTCAACTCACTGCGACCTCCGCCTCCCAGGTTCAAGCAATTCTCCTGCCTCAGCCTCCCAAGTAGCTAGGATTACAGGTGCACGCCACCAGGCACAGCTAATTTTTGTATTTTTAGTAGAGATGGTGTTTTCACCATGTTGGTCAGGCTGGTCTTGAACTGCTGACCTCCAGTGATCCACCTGCCTCAGCCTCCCAAAATGCCGAGATTACAGGTGTGAGCCACCCCTGCCCAGCCTTTTTTCATTTTTTTTTTGATGGAGTCTCACTCTGTCACCCAGGCTGGAGTGCAGTGGCGCGATCTCAGCTCACTACAGCCTCTGCCTCCCGGGTTCCAGTGGTTCTTCTGCCTCAGCCTCCCGAGTAGCTGGGACTACAGGCGTGCACCACCACGCCCAGCTAATTTTTGTATTTTTAGTAGAGATGAGGTTTCACCATGTTAATCAAGCTGGTCTGGAACTCCTGACCTCAGGTGATCCGCCCACCTCGGCCCCCCAAAGTGCTGGAATTACAGGCATGAGCCACTGCTCCTGGCTCCACTGACCCATTTCACTGGCGAGGAAGCGCAGACTCAGGGTGAGGGCATGCCTGGGCCATGCCGGCCATGCCAGTATCGCCCCACCCTGCTGTCTGCAGATGAGGAAGAAGCGCCTGTCGTCCCCTCCTCCCCTCTGCGCCTCCTGCCCTGCCCTCACCATGTCAATGACCATCCTGCGCAGACTCAGTCGCTGCTTGGTGCTGAGGTTCCGAAAGATGTCGCAGTTTTCTGTCTGCAGGAGCTTGAAGCCCACAGCCAGGTGGTGGTTCTCCAGCACCGAGGCGTCGTTGTACATCAGCGCCAGCTCTGAGTCTGTGGGGGTATGGGACTGAGGGCCCCAAGATCCACCCATCCCACCCACTCTACCCACAGGCAGCTTTTGAAAATTCTTAGCGAACTCCTACCCATGCGGCCAAGGCCCAACTCTAGCATGCCCTCCCGTAAGAAACCATCCGGCTTCCTGGCCCTTGTCTGACTGCAGGGCTGGGGGTATCAGTGTTTCACCCTGCCTATCCAAGACTGAGAAGTCTCCTGAGGGACTCACTATGGCCAGAGTCAGTGAGTGCTCAGTGATGGTTTTTTTCTTTTCTTTTCTTTTCTTTTTTTTGAGATGGAGTCTTGCTCTGTCGCCAGGCTGGAGTACAGTGGTGCGATCTCGACTCACTGCAACCTCCGCCACCCAGGTTCAAGCAATTCTCCTGCCTCAGACTCCCAAGTAGCTGGGACTACAGGCATGTGCCACCATGCCCAGCTAATTTTTGTATTTTTAGTAGAGACAGGATTTCACCATGTTGGCCAGGGCGGTCTCGATCTCTTGACCTCGTGATCCACCTGCCTTGGCCTCCCAAAGTGCTGAGATTACAGGTGTGAGCCACCATGCCTGGCCCTAGTGATGGTTTTTTTCTTTCTTTCTTTTTTTAGAGACAGGGTCCTGCTGTCGCCCAGACTGGAGCACAGTGGTAAGATCATGGCGCCCTGCAGCCTCAACCGCCTGTCCTCAGATGATCCTCTCACCTCAGCCTCCTGAGTAGTTGGGCTTACAGGTGTGTGCCACCACCCGTGGCTACTTATTTATTTATTTTTTATTTTTATTGGAGAGACAGGGTCTCATTGTATTGCCCAGGCCGGTCTTGAACTCCTGGCCTCAAGAAATCCTCCCACCTCTGCCTCCCACAGTGTTGGGATTACAGGTGTGAGCCATGGCGCCCAGTCTCTCAGTGCTGGTTAAATAAACCACTGAGTCTGTCTTATTGGACTCTCGGCTCCTTGAGTGAGGGGCTCCACTCTCACCCCCGGCACTCCAGGGCTTACACACAAAAGGTTCCCGGTAACTGCCTGTCAACTGAGTGTTTTAGACTCCTCATGGGATCCTAAACTTTAAGATCTTGGTGGAACTGGCCGGGCACAGTGGCTCACGCCTGTAATCCCAGCACTTTGGGAGGCTGAGGTGGGCAGGTCACTCGAGACCAGCCTGGGCAACATAGCAAAACCCTGTCTCTACTAACAATGCAAAAATTAGCCAGGCATGGTGGTGCATGCCTGTAATCCCAGCTACTCCGGAGGCTGAGGCTGGAGAATCGGCTGAACTGGGGTGTGGAGGCTGCAGTGAGCCGAAACCGCACCACTGCACTCCAGCCTGGGTGACAGAGCAAGACCCTGTCTCAATAAATAAATAGCCGGGCATAGTGGCACACACCTTTAATCCCAGCACTTTGGAAGGCCGAAGCAGGCAGATCACAAGGTCAAGAGATCGAGACCATCCTGGTCAAGATGGTGAAACTCTGTCTCCAATAAAAATACAAAAATTAGCTAGGCGTGGTGGCATGCAACCTACAGTCCCAGCTACTCTGGAGGTGGAGGCAGGCGAATTGCTTGAACCTGGGAGGCAGAGGTTGCAGTGAGCCGAGATCATGCCACTACACTCCAGCCTGGTGACAGAGTGAGACTCTGTCTCAAAAATAATAACAATAATAATAATAATCTTGGTGGAACCAGATCAGCTCTGCCACAGCTTGTTATTCTCTCATTTATTGAGCACCTACCGTGTACCCAGGCCTGCCCCAAGCCCCTGAAGGGAGGGAAGACTGTCATCACCATTTCATAGACAGGGAGCCTGGGCTGAGGGCAGATGGGAACCGCCTGAGATCCCGGCGGACAGCGTGGAGGCAGGGCCCGCCTCCCCTCCTGCACCCACTCCCCACTCCTACTTACTGGTATTAATCAGAAACTGGTTAGAGACCCCGGGGTGATCCACATCGTGGATGGCGCTTGCAAACAGGGCAGCCATGATTTCCAGGTCTGTGAACACAGCCTGAGCGTGCAGAGGGCACAGGTGGTGAGGGGCGGGGTCTCTGAGCCCTGCACCCGCCCGCCTGCGTGCAGCCGCGGCGTGGTACCTCCAGGGCGGGTGTAGCCAGCAGCACATGTGTGGACTGGGCCACGTCAGCGGCGTGGAGGCTGTTGTGGTAGGCCACGTCAGCATGGTAGTGACCCTCCAGCAACAGCAGGTAGGTGGCCAGTGTGTCTGCTGGAATCTGGAATGTCTTCAGCAGGTCCCGCTCCTGCTCCATCACAGACACTGGCTCAGGGCCTTGGCCTTGCGGCTGCAACACATGCTATTCCTTCTCCTCTCTTCTGAACTCCTATCCATGCCTCAAGTACCCACTCCACTGAGACACCCTCCCTGCTCTCCTGAACTCCTTCACTCCCTATTCTTTGGTGGGCCAACCCTGACCCTACAGGACTGGGGGTGTCTGTCTCCAGCTCTTCTCTCCAGATTTCTCTCCTCTTCAGGCCCAGGGGCCAGGGCTGAGGCTTCAGGACAACAAACTGTTCACCAGAGTGAACTCCTATTCATCCTTCAATACCCTGCTCAAATTATCCCCTTCAGAAACGTCAGGGAGGATTTGAAAACTGAGTGTCCCTGAGGTCTGGCGTAGGAAGGGGTGAAGGAAACCCCAGGAGTTTTTCCTTGGAAGCCAAGGGCAGGGTAGGTACCTGAAAAACGCTGAATAGGATAGCTGTGAGAGGCCGGTTCCCACTTAGCTCTGCCACCTTGAATACGTCAAGTCCCCACTTGTTGGTGTCTTCTAGCTCCTAAGATGTGAAGGGCTGGAGCTTAATTAACCCCAGCCCAGCTTCTGCAGACTCTAGAGCCTCCATCCTCCCACCCCAGGTTCCACAGTGAGCCCCACTGCCCAGTATATAGGTGGGTAAACTGAGGCCCAAGATAGGACATCCAGACCGAGCCAGGGACCAAACTTTGATCTTGGCATTGTGATTGGAGACCCACCTTGGCCAGCTGCTCCTCCTGCTCAGTCTGGACCCCAAAGCGTGGGACGGTGGCTGAGGAGAGGCTGGCACTGCGGCAGAGCCCATGTAGGCCACTGATTTGGGACACAGGCTTCGGAGGCTCCTCGGCGGTCACCGTGGGCAGCTCCACCTCAGTCTGCTGGTCTGTAGATGGGGCTCAGAGAAGTGAGTAATGAGTCTGTAGTGAGGCTCAGAGAAGCCCATTCCACCTGCTGGGGTGGTCCTGCCTGGCCTCAGGACCTGAACTTCGCAAAACCCCAGGATCAGTCTATTTCCCTTTCAACAGGAACCAAAGTAAGTTTGGAGTAAGGACCCTTTCGGCCGGGTGCAGTGCCTCACACCTGTAATCCCAGCGATTTGGGATGCCGAGGTGAGCGGATCACTTGAGGTCAGAAGTTTGAGACCAGCCTGAGCAATATAGGGAAATGTCATCTCTACTAAAAATACAAAAATTAAGGCCGGGTGCAGGGGCTCACGCCTGTAATCCCAGCACTTTGGGAGGCCGAGGAAGGCGAATCACCTGAGGTCAGGAGTTCGAGACCAGCCTGGCCAACATGGTGAAACCCCGTCTCTACTAAAAATACAAAAATTAGATCGGTGTGGTGGTGGGAGCCTGTAATGCCAGCTACTCAGAAGGCTGAAGCAGGAGAACTCTTGAACCCAGGAGGTGGAGGTTGCAGTGGCTGAGATCACACCACTGCATTCCCATCTGGGCAACAAAGCAAACCTCTGTCTC